GAACGCCCAGACAGCACGCCGCCTGTCAGCCAATCAGAGAGCCTGAACAGCACTCTTCAGCCAATCAAATCTAGAAGAAATAACATGACTCTTTTTTTTTTTTAAATCTAATGTTGATTCTGTGACTTACAAACAAAACAAGGAGAGTCGATAAAAATGGTCTAAAGACTAAAAAAACAGGGCTGCACGGTGACACACTTTTCAGTGTTTCTTATGTTTTATTTATTGAGTTTAACGTCAGGAGGATCTTTTAACATGTTGATAAAGCTCTCATCATGTCGTCAGTGTGTGAATCCTTCAGAGCAGCTCTACTGATAACGTCTGTTTGTTTCTGCTGCTGTCTCTTTAAGGCCCGCCTCCCCTCTCCTGATTGGAGAGAGTAGCTCTCTGGAAGCCTTCTGAGGGGCAGAACGCTGCAGGGCTGCCAGGGGAGGGGGCTGCCCTCCAGCTCTGGGAGAAGAGAGTCTATGTAAGGTACCTTGTGATCTGAATCTTTGCCAAAGTTCAAACATTATGGATACCTGTTTGGTTACCAGGGCAACATGAATAGAAGTCCTTGAGATCCAGTGTTGGGTAATTTAATGTTTTTAATCACTTAAAGTTTCACACAAACACCGACACAGAAACAGTGCTCATGTATGTGTAATGTTAATATTGATTGTTCTTATAAAAGCTGCAGCGGTGAATCACGTGGCGTGCCATCCCAGAAAAGATACTGAGATTGTTGACAGAGTCGATGTCTAAAATAAGTTGTGAATGATTCCTGAACTTTACTTAAAGGTCCAGTCAGTGAGCTGTGTAGAGAGTGAGATGATGAAGGTATCTTACTCTCTGATCATTAAGGAAACATGCTATGTTGAAGTGCTGGCTTCTCTGACAACAATGCAGCAGTCTGTATGTCCTCCTTCTAACTTTAGATTCTGCTCCTGAATGCTCTGGATTTGTTTGGACCAGAGAAGGTAGAAGCTTTTAAGACACGCCCCCACACGGCCGTTTTGGATGCCCCTCGGTTTGCCAGATATGAGAGCAGTTATCAGGTCAACAGGTGTTGCAGCGATGGAAGCGGTCAAGAGAAGTGGTTCAGATAGAAGTGATTGTACCCGACCTAAAAAGCCTCTGCATGTTTCTAATAAGCTCCACGAGCAGAAACGTGCTCAAACTAGGATCAATATTGGAGATGCTTTTGAAAAATGGAGAGAGGTTAGAACACAGAAAGGTTTACAGACCCATGCAGAGCTGGATAAACACTGAAGCTTCAGAGTCCACCACATGGTGACCTGAGTGAGGGGGGGGGAGACAGCTCTCTATAATGTTTAGAATTTAGACTGCAGTACCCATTTTAAACACTAGGGGTCACAGTTAAATACTGCTCTTTAAGTTGATCTGATGTTTGATTTGTATTAAAAGATTTAAGAGGATAGGGGTTACATTATAAGAATAATAAATAATTAAGAGAGGTTTCATGAGTTCAGTAACTGGGTGGATAGTTATGGCAGGAGGTCAGCACACCTTAACGCTCACCTCTTAGAAACAGACTCTGCAGAAACTCACTGACCTGGTCGATCCTTTAAAATCATTCAAACAACAGTGACACCTGCTGGTCTGTACTAATCACTACACCCTGACCTCGGCTGTGTCGTGGAGTGCGAGCTCTTACAGTTTTTTCCAATTGCTAACACACTAAAATGACATGCATAGCACAATTATTATTATTTTTTTTAAATTTTTGGGTTATTTTTGTGCCTTTAATGCAGAGAGAGGACAGTGGATAGAGTCAGAAACCAGAGAGAGGACAGTGGATAGAGTCAGAAACCAGAGAGAGAGGACAGTGGATAGAGTCAGAAACCAGAGAGAGAGAGGACAGTGGATAGAGTCAGAAACCAGAGAGAGAGAGGACAGTGGATAGAGTCTGAAACCAGAGAGAGAGGACAGTGGATAGAGTCAGAAACCAGAGAGAGAGAGAGGACAGTGGATAGAGTCTGAAACCAGAGAGAGAGAGGACAGTGGATAGAGTCTGAAACCAGAGAGAGAGAGAGAACAGTGGATAGAGTCTGAAACCAGAGAGAGAGAGAGAACAGTGGATAGAGTCTGAAACCAGAGAGAGAGAGGACAGTGGATAGAGTCAGAAACCAGAGAGAGAGAGGACAGTGGATAGAGTCAGAAACCAGAGAGAGAGAGGACAGTGGATAGAGTCAGAAACCAGAGAGAGAGAGGACAGTGGATAGAGTCTGAAACCAGAGAGAGAGAGGACAGTGGATAGAGTCTGAAACCAGAGAGAGAGAGGACAGTGGATAGAGTCAGAAACCAGAGAGAGAGAGAGGACAGTGGATAGAGTCAGAAACCAGAGAGAGAGAGGACAGTGGATAGAGTCAGAAACCAGAGAGAGAGAGAGGACAGTGGATAGAGTCTGAAACCAGAGAGAGAGAGGACAGTGGATAGAGTCAGAAACCAGAGAGAGAGAGGACAGTGGATAGAGTCTGAAACCAGAGAGAGAGAGGACAGTGGATAGAGTCAGAAACCAGAGAGAGAGAGGACAGTGGATAGAGTCAGAAACCAGAGAGAGAGAGGACAGTGGATAGAGTCAGAAACCAGAGAGAGAGAGGACAGTGGATAGAGTCTGAAACCAGAGAGAGAGAGAGGACAGTGGATAGAGTCTGAAACCAGAGAGAGAGAGAGGACAGTGGATAGAGTCTGAAACCAGAGAGAGAGAGAGGACAGTGGATAGAGTCAGAAACCAGAGAGAGAGAGAGGACAGTGGATAGAGTCAGAAACCAGAGAGAGAGAGAGGACAGTGGATAAGTCAGAAACCAGAGAGAGAGAGAGGACAGTGGATAGAGTCTGAAACCAGAGAGAGAGAGAGGGGAATGACATGTGGAAAGGGGCCACGGGTGGAAGCCTAACGCTCGAGACGAGAGTCTCAACACATGGGACGCGCGCCCTAACCACTGCGCCACCAGCGCACCCCGGGATCCTGTTTTTGGACTTCAGCTCGGCATTCAACACTACCATCTCGGATATACCACCACCCATCTCATAGTGCCATAAGAAAAGAGGCACAGCAGAGGATGTATTTCCTGAGTCAGCTCAAGAAGTTCATCCTGCCCCAGGAGCTGCTGATCATGTTTCAATGATTAAAGCCGGGCAGGAGTCAGTCCTTCTTCTGCAGCTCATCTGAGAGTCATCGGGTGTCTTCTTTTAGGTTAGTTATGTTTTGGTTTGCTTTCGAAAGTGTACGCAGTCTTTGCAAGGCATAGTTGTACTTTGTAAAATGCAGGCTGCACAGCTGAGTGACAGTGCGGGAACGCGGAAGCAGAGGGGTAAAAAAAAAAGGTGATCTCCGAGTCTGATGGCTTAAACTTTTGGCTAAACAAAAAAGTTACAATAAGATAATCTGATTATAAAAATGTAGTGTAAAAAGCTGACTTCAAAACATGATAAAAACAAAATAAAATACCAAATACTGTCTACGTTTCTGCCTGACATACAAAGATGTCGACACAGGAATCAAGCAGAGTTGTTGATGGTTCAGTATCTTTCTCAGGGCACCTTGGCAGTATTCACAAGCTGATTTGGCACCTCTCCATCGAAACTTCCTTTTTCTTTCCTTAAGTTTCACCCTCAGTCATCACATCATGGGTGGAGCCTTATCATAACACATGCACAAACTCGTGTGCTGCAGGGTGGGCTGGTACCCAGGGAACATGCCAGAATGGCTGAGGGTTCAGTACCTGTCTCAGGGCACATTGGCAGTTTTCACAAGGGGACTTGGCATCTCTCCATCGAAACTTCCTTTTTCTTTCCTTAAGTTTCACCCTCAGTCATCACGTCATGGGTGGAGCCTTATTATAACACATGCACAAACTGTCATGGATCGAGAAAAACTTAGAGGAGGACCCAGATGCAGATCTAACAAAAAATATGTATTTAAAGAAAAGAAAAGTCAAAGGCAAACACATAACTTACTCTAGGAGAAAACTAGCCACGAGGAAACCACAAGTAGCACTAGGACAACACCAACAAACGACAAACAATGAACTGATACAGAAGGCAAGAAACACAGAGTCTAAATAGACATGGGGTAATCAGACACAGGTGAGTCTAACGACACAGGTGAAGACAATGAGGGTAATCAACACGAAGGGAAACACACAGAGGCAGGAGAAAAAACACTGAGGACAACTACAAACTAAATCATGAAAGACTAAAGACACTAGATACACACTAGGACAAAGAAACACAGGTATAGGAAATACAATATAAAAACACTAGAAACTAAGCTAGGAAACATAAACTGAAAATACAAACTACATAAGACCAAATCATGACACAAACAGGTGTGCTGCAGGGTGTGGCAGCTACCCAGGGAACATGTCAGAATGGCTTAGGGTTCAGTACCCTTTTCAGGGAACTTTGGCAGTATTTGAAAGTTGACTTTGCATCTCTCCAAAGAAACGTAGCTTTTGTTTGTTTAAGTTTAACCTACAGTCATAATGTAGTGAGCAGAGCCTTATTATAACACATGCACAAACAGGTGTGCTGCAGGGTGGGGCTGGTACCCAGGGAACATGCCAGATTTGTTTAGGGTTCAGTACCTTTCTCAGGGCACATTGGCAGTTTTCACAAGGTGACTTGGCACCTCTCCATCGAAACTTCCCTTTTGTTTCCTTAACTTTCACTTTCAGTCATCACATCATGGGTGGAGCCTTATTATAACACATCCAATCATATCATTGGTTGCATCAGTCAGAAGAGAAGAGAGACTTAAAAGAGGACAAAGAGAGAGACAGTCACAGATACTGAGATGGCGAGAGAGGAAGCTGCAGCCACACTGACTTTCACATCATTAACTGCAGCTTGCAGACAGAGGAGCAGAAATGAGCGCAGGTGACTATTTTAGAAACATGAAACAAACTTGATCTCAGCCACTTGGACGTAGAACATTTTTAATACATCTTGTTCTCAATTTGTTTCGTTTTTTTCCATCTTGTTCAATAAGCGGGAGACCCAACCAGCGGAGGGGAGGACACAGCCGGAACAACTTTCAGGCTCCGAGACGGGATCGCGTCCAGCAGAGAGGTAACACACACACACACACTCACACACACACTAAAGCCCGACTAGACATGTCATGATGGTGTATAACCTGTTCAGGTAATAAAAAGCCGTAGTCTCTAAATATCTCCAGCTTCAAAACTTGTTAGGGCCTGTGTCCACAGACAGCTTTTTTGCGTTGGCAGTGCCTGTGGACAATACAAAACCAATATATGTCAGAGTTTTGGAGCTCTAAGTTGAAAGATCAACGAGTAGAACAGAAATAACTTTTTCTTCTGGGTAGTGGCACCTGGATTGTGGTTTGTATACTGCCATGTGTGACTACCGTTTTGCTTTAGTCAGACGTATTATGAGTGACGTAGTATGACCCCATGCCCTGAACCGTGCCGTCCTTACCATGACAGTTCAGGTTGAATACAAAAACCTTTACAGGCCTAGCAGACACACAAACTAATCTGTAGAGATGAGTAGATCACTTCCTGTAATATAAATTATGTAAAAATATCTTTAAAAAAATAGATCATGAACTCTTTTTTCTTCAACAGAGGGGAACCGGGAGATGTTCACAACTAAAAGACGCCTGTTGAAGATGATAGTGTCCACTCCACAGTCCCTGGAATCAGCTGTAACTAAAAGCTTCAAGGATTTTGTGATAGCACAAAACCCATCTCTTGAAATTCTAAACAAGTCTGTGATCCGCTCAGAGTTAGTCAGAGTCTACAATGAAAAACGAAACGAGCTGCAATCCACCTTGGCGTCTGCTGATGACATTGTGCTGACATGTGAGTCGTGGTCTCACAGGGCTGAAGACTCCCTCCTGATGGTCGGCTGCCATTTTGTGGACAGCCTTGGGAAACTCAAATCCTACCTGCTTGAAACTAAAGGCCTCTCTGGAGACGAGTCTGCAGCCATTCAAAAGCAGCTCTCTGCTGTCATGGAGGCTTGGGGCCTGGAAGGAAAGGTCCACTGTGTTGTCAGAGCCGGCCTACCACAACTGAAAGGAGTCAAATGGATGGGCATGCCTTGCTTTGCAAACGAACTGAATGTGATGTTTAAGGATCTGACGAGTCATGATGAGCTGTCCGATGTCTTTAGAAAGTGTCGGGACATCGTCAGATTCTTTAAGTTTGATTCTGAAGCAGAGGAGATGCTCAGAGAGATTCAAAAGAAGATGGAGATGGAACAAGTCGAGCTGATCCTGCCCTGCGGGGACAGATGGCTTCTCTGGTTAGACATGCTTGAAGGACTGATTCTGCAGCACGAGGTGATGGTGATGGTTTTAGTCCAGAAAAAGAAGAAAAATTTAATTCTTGATGAAACTGAATCCGAGAAAATCCAGAACATCATATCGGCTCTGAAACCCCTGAAGAAAGTCACATCCATGATGAAAGGGGAGGGATTCCAGTCCATTTCAGTAATGCTGCCGCTGCTGAAGACGATCATGGATGATCTTGGAGAAGAAGTAAAGAAAGGGAACAATGTTGCTAAAATATTTCATTCAAAATGCAAGAAGAACTTTGGAGACATCAACAAGCACCGATTGGCTCTCATGACATTCCTCGACCCGAGATACAAAGACAAGCTTGGGGAGCAAAACAAAAAAAATGCGATAAAAGAGCTAAAGCAGGAGCTCACGGCAGCCCGAACATCCTGTTCTGCTGCTCAACTGGAAGCCCTCCTGGAGAAGTACATCAACTACAAACCTACTTCAGAGGATTCCAACCCTTTTGCCTGGTGGAGGAACACAGGAAAGACCAAATTTGATGAATTAAGCAGGCTTGCTCTGAAGAAACTTGGGATCGTCTCCACAGCTGTGCCCTTAGAGAGAGCCTTCTCCTCACTAGGTGTTCAGTTCTGCAACAACAGGAGCTCCATCGAGCCAGAAAACCTCAACATGATCCTGTTCCTCCACAGCAACTGGCCCAACATATAGATAGTCTACCAAGCTTTTTGAGCTGATAAGATCGAGATAAGAAAGTAAGAAATTGGTCTCAGGCTCTTCACCCATGCTGTAGCCATAAAAGAACAACAATCAACATTATTCACATAAAACAATAAATAATGTCCACAAAAAATAAGAATATAACTAACATCAGGTTCCTAAAATACCATTGCAAAAATGTAAAGACACATTATCGTCCAGTGCCTATCCAGTCTTATTTGCCACTATTTAACTGCTTTATAAACCTGCTCTGAGCTCGTTTTAACCTCTGCGCTGATTTGAGTCCCTAATGGCTCTGCCCTCGTTTTAAGGGCCTTTCAGATAGCTGGGCTCTGCGCACCGCTGCCAAGCCCATGCATTGTCTATTGTGTTGCTCTGCGCAAGAGCATATCTCCTTGCCACCGAGTTGATTGCAGCACAGCGTCCCGCTTGTCACTCTTGCGTGCTTGGCGAAAGTTAAAACATTTTCTATTTGCTCGGTGACGTCACCTCCGCTCATCCAATAGGAGAATAACTCAGATCACAACAAACGTGTCTCACTTTCCTGAGCTCTAGTTTAAACACCTACCGGGACATCGGCAAGAAAGGGTGTACCAGGTGTGTTTAAAACAGAGCAGTAATGTGTGTCATACTCGTAAACAGGTCGTTATAGAGCTGCAGCTCCTGAACGACCTGAAACTCTCCCACATCCTGTTGATTTCATCATCATCTTTGCTGCCTGTCTCCCCCTCCGCAGCAGAAGAAAAGTCGGGGCTTTTTTCTCACTAGTGGACACATAGATCTACAAATTGCTGTGGCAGAAGCTATTCTCTCGAGCTATTTTCTCAACTATTATTTTCTCCTAGCAACATGCGCTGTTGGATTTTGCTCGTATGCGCTCTCCACATTTGCGCTGCGCTCATTTTAGTCCTTGATTGGGCTGCACTTATTAAGTCCCCAATAACTTTGCACTCAATTAGTCCCTGATCGTTCTGATCAGTTAATTGTTTTCCTTTTTGTACAAATAAAGATCAAGAATCTCAAATACTTTTAAAATAGTATATTCATCCAGACATATATAAAGGTGGTTCTTGCAGACTTTAATATAATTGGTCTGAGTGCTGTTCTCTATGAGGTAATGTTTAACAGTTTATGTGTTTATCTAAGAAACAAAGAGTGTATGTGTGCATTTTTCATATTTACAACTGAAACTGATTTGACTTTTTGCCTTTGGTGACTTTATTTCAATGTAAATCCAAAGATAAGTTGGTATTTTGTCCATGACCTCGTTTAAAAAATCTCCTTCTGTCTTTTGTTTTTGTTTTATAAAATCACGAGAATATCTTTGTTACATGTTTTTGCATTATCCTTTTTTTTTTTTTAAATCTTCTTTCATTTTGTCTGTAAGTGCCTTAATCGATATTAACTGTTATAAGAAATTAATATTCTCAGGTTCTGTTGTTCTTATAAGAGCAGATTTTATGTCACCAAACAGCAAAGACCTTCAAGTTAAACACTCCTGAAAAGAGAAGCCATGAGAGTGCTGTAGTTACAGACGGTGAACACCAGAGGGCAGCAGAGGGAAGGAAGAAACGGAGCAGCTGGACATGGATGTTTGCATTTCCTCATCAATAATCAAAGCAGGATCTGAAACCTGATCTGAGAAACAATAACCATGGAAACAGCAGCCAGAGGAGGAGGAGCTTAAAGACGAGATTTTAAATGTTTAAAGTCAATAAGAAAAGTTTGATAAACTTATAATCAGCAAAAATAATCAAGAAATGTTTTTAATGTTTTGTGAAAATGATTATCATTGCAATAAAAGTTGCCCGGTTTGTGTGTCTTTAAACATGTGCAAACTTGATACCACCAGAAAAAAATGTGTTAACTGATCTACTAACGGCACGCGGTGAGGGCTGCGTCTTTCATATGAACAAAACAACACGCATTGACCATTTAGTACGTTTGACTTAATGAATACGCAATATATAACATGCAAAATACTGGGAGGAGAAAACGCAAAGAACTGAAGTTAGTACACGCTTTGCGATTTACCAAGCCTGACAAAAACTGAGGTGATTGTGACGGTGTCTGAATTTAACACCTTTGAAAAGAAGGTGTTAACCCAGGAGACCAGTGTTACACACAACAGGCTGCTGTTATTGAAGTTAGGAGGAGACATAGGCTCAACAAAAGAAGGCATAAAGATCGTTTTTCCCCACAAGTGTTTACATGTTTCAAATGACAGAAAAATAAATGTCATGCATTTATTTTTTAATTCGATTCAATATTGTAATCGTTAAGGAAGAGAAACACCGTGATTAAACTACAGGCTGTTGTTGCCAAAGAAAACTGAACATTCAACATTCAATTCTATAGAATTTCAACATTGATGTTTATGTCTTCCTATTTCCCTCTTTTCACCAACATTATATGTTAAACTGGGATTTCCTTTTTCTCGGGTCGTGCGTCTCTCCTCCAGCTCGCCCCCTGCGGTGCGCTCCTCTCCATAATGCTCTCGTCTCCTCCCTCTAAAGCTGCTGATACTCTGTAGGACGCTTTGATGGGGGGACCTCACCACTGTTTGTACCCCTGTCTTCAATACCTCTTTCCAGATCATTCATGTCCGATCAGACGCAGCGCTGACCAGCTGTCTGCTGCACAACAACAGGGAGTGTAGAGCGCCCGGTCCACAGAGGACACAGCTCACACCTCCTGCTCAATGTATGACACTTCATTCTTAAGATGAAGAAAAGAGAGGCCCTGTTTAATGCCCAGGTTTTCTTATAACCACATGTTCTTTGTAATATTCAGATTTATCTCCTATAACTCTAAAGTATTGTGTGTTTATTTGCCTCTCTCTCTAATACCTGTTTTGCGCTTGAAGTCGTCCTGCTTTCTGTCCAAACTCTCCGTGATGTAAACCAGTAGAACAACCTAACTTAAATAGCTCCGCCTCCACAAGGTTTGCACCTGGTGTCATTCACGCAAATTTTCTTAGTAGATCACCCGCAAAACGCCCACCAACCAAACGTGCAAACTTTTGGAGTGAACACACAATTTAGTACTCTTTAATTGGAAGCTTAGTAAATCTGGCCCGAAGTGTTTTTCCTCTTTTGTAAAAAAATGTTCCTACCTGATCTCTTTTGCATGAAGTCATGGGAGAAATGTGCAGAGACATGTTGTCTTGGGGTAAAAAGATTTTTTATACTTTAAGCCCATTATTAACTGCTTACTTAACATTGCAGCACAGGTGATAAAGTTACAGATTATTATAGGATGATACATATAATTGAATTTGAACTTAGTGCACTGCTGTAAACAATATGTAGATAGTTTAGCTAATATTGAATACAGATAAATCCGCTGCTCCGTTTCTTCCTTCCCTCTGCTGCCCTCTGGTGTTCACCGTCTGTAACTACAGCACTCTCATGGCTTCTCTTTTCAGGAGTGTTTAACTTGAAGGTCTTTGCTGTTTGGTGACATAAAATCTGCTCTTATAAGAACAACAGAACCTGAGAATATTAATTTCTTATAACAGTTAATATCGATTAAGGCACTTACAGACAAAATGAAAGAAGATAAAAAAAAAAAAAGGATAATGCAAAAACATGTAACAAAGATATTCTCGTGATTTTATAAAACAAAAACAAAAGACAGAAGGAGATTTTTTAAACGAGGTCATGGACAAAATACCAACTTATCTTTGGATTTACATTGAAATAAAGTCACCAAAGGCAAAAAGTCAAATCAGTTTCAGTTGTAAATATGAAAAATGCACACATACACTCTTTGTTTCTTAGATAAACATATAAACTGTTAAACATCAAAGTCAGGGTTGGTAATTTCCTCCAGATCCACTTTTTAAGATCATGGTTGAAATTGTCTTCAGGTCCTGACAGAAATGAATAACTCAAGGTCTTTGAAAAAGGAGAGAACTCTCAGTCGAAGTAAAAACTTCAACCATTGTCTGCCACGAGGTACCAATCTGATGAACCAATCAGACGCCTCCCTGTCTCCCTGCTCACTCTCTACCTCATGGCGTGCTCTAGCTCACACTCAAAGCGCGTCACCGATGACTTTAGGAGTTTATACTGAGAGTTCACTGACCGCTGAATGAGAAATGAGACGACGTAGTTTCTACACAATGACAGAGATGAGCTGAGGTTCACTTCTGGAGGGACGGCGCTCGAGCATGTGAGTTAGGGGGCGTGGCTTTAGAGGGAGGGCAGAGGGGAGGGGGTGTGGCTATAGAGGGAGCGGGGGGGGGGGTGCAGACGGTGCACTGAGGGAATGCTACTTTCAAAATCATGCTAGCTTTAGAAAATGACCAACCCTGACTTTAACTCACAAAGAACGGTACTCAGACCAATCATAATAAATTTACAGATAGATACATGCAGTAATATTGTGCATACTGTATATGCACAGAGAGAGAGAGAGAGAGAGAGAGAGAGAGAGAGAGAGAGAGAGAGAGAGAGGAGCTCAAGGTGCCAGTTCCCCTGGTAGTCTAAGCCTATACCAGCATAACTAAGAGCTGGTCTACACCAGCACTAACTATAAGATTTATCAAAAAGGAAAGTTTTAAGTCTATTCTTAAAAATACAGACTGTGTCTGCCTCCCGGACCCCGGCTGGAAGGCGGTTCCAGAAGAGAGGAGCCTGATAACTGAAGGCTTTACCCCCCATAGTACATTTAGAGACTGTAGGTACCACCAGCAGGCCTGCACTCCGGGACCGTAACGCTCTCGAGGGACAATACGGCACTAGTAGCTCCTTCAGATAAGATGGTGCCTGGTCATTTAGAGCTTTGTAGGTGAGAAGAAGGATCTTGAATTCTATTCTAGACTGTATAGGGAGCCAGTGCAGAGAAGCCAACACAGGAGTAATGTGGTCCCTTTTCCTAGTTCTAGTCAGTACACGAGCTGCAGCGTTCTGGACCAGTTGAAGAGTCTTTAGAGACTTACCAGAGCACCCTGACAAAAGAGAATTACAATAATCCAGTCTGGAGGTAACAAATGCATGAACTAGTTTTTCTGCATCATTTTGCGACAGGATATTCCTGATCTTGGATATATTACGAAGGTGAAAATAGGCTGTTCTTGAAATTTACCTGATGTGAGAGCTAAAGGACATATCTTGATCAAATAGAACTCCTAGATTCCTAACAGTGGTGCTAGATGCCAGGCTGATGTCACTAAGGACAGTCAAATCACTAGAAAAAGTCTCTCTGAGATTTTTAGGGCCTAGCACAATAACTTCAGTCTTGTCTGAGTTAAGTAGCAAAAATGTCTGGTCATCCAGGTCCTAACGTCCTTAAGGCACGTTTCTAGCTTACATAACTGTCTGGTGCCATCGGGCTTCATTGATACATAAAGCTGAGTATCATCTGCATAACAATAAAACTGTATGGAGTGTTTCCTCATAATATTTCCCAGAGGAAGCATATATAATGTAAAGAGAATTGGTCCAAGCACTGAACCTTGTGGCACTCCATGGATAACTTTGGTGTGCATAGAGGACTCATTATTAACATGTACAAACTGAGATCGGTCTGAGAAGTAGGATTCAAACCAACTTAAAGCAGTCCCTGTAATTCCAAGTAAATGTTCTAGTCTGTATAATAGGATCTGATGGTCAATGGTGTCAAAAGCAGCACTAAGATCTAACAGGACGAGCACAGAGAGAAGTCCCCTGTCTGAAGCTAGAAGTAGATTGTTTGTAACTTTAACTAGTGCAGTCTCAGTGCTATGGTGGACTCTAAATCCTGACTGAAACTCCTCAAATAAACTGTTGTCATGGAGAAAGTCACACAGCTGTTTAGCTACCACCTTCTCCAGGATCTTTGAGATAAAAGGAAGGTTGGATATAGGCCTGTAGTTAGCTAGAGTTCCTGAATCTAGAGTAGGCTTTTTAAGTAGAGGTTTGATTACCGCTACTTTAAATGACTGTGGTACATAGCCTGCCAGTAAAGACATATTGATCATATCTAATATAGAGTTGCTAACTAAGGGAAAGACTTCCTTAAACAGCTTGGTTGGGATTGGGTCTAAAAGACAGGTTGACAGTTTTGACGCAGAAATAATTGAATTTAGCTCTGAAAGGTCGATTGGAGAAAAACAGTCTAGACTAATATCTGGTCCTGGAACTGTCTCTGCCGTATCAGACGTATCTGCACCAGGTAAGGGCAGGAGGTTAACAATTTTGTCTCTGATGTCTAGAATTTTGTTGTTGAAAAAGCTCAGGAAATCATTACTGCTGAGGGCTAAAGGACTACAAGGCTCAATGGAGCATGACTCTCTGTCAGCCTGGCTACAGTGCTGAAAAGGTATCTAGGATTGCTTTTGTTTTCCTCGATTAGAGAGGAGTAGTAGGCAGCTCGAGCGTGACGTAGAGCCTTCATATAGCTTCTATGACTATCCTGCCAGATAAAACAAGATTCTACTGTTTTGGTCGAGCGCCATATTCTTTCAAAATTTCGCGACGTTTGTTTTAGAGTACAGGTTTCTGAGTTGAACCATGGAGCTATTCTCTGCCGCTTGATAACCTTCTGTTTCAGGGGAGCAATCGAATCAAGAGTAACTCTCAGCGAATCCACTGCACTATGAACAGACTGATCTAGCTGAGAGGGACTAAAGCTATCATAAGAGTTTCCAACTGGGTTGAAACACGGTACTGAATCAAAAGCAGCTGAAATAGCTTCCTTAAATCTAGCTACAGCACTATCAGATAAACTTCTAGAGAGCACATTTTTATTAAGCAGAGATAATTCTGGCAGGACAAAGTCGAAAGTAATAAGAAATGGTCTGATAGAAGAGGATTTTCTAGGAAAACTGTAAGGTTTTGGATT